AAGTCATCGTATAAACAGACTTAGTCAGTAACACTAAAAATACTATATTAAGTATTATAAAATTCATTTTAGTACTATAGTTTTTCGTAGTGTAAATGAATGCTATAGAATTATCCTATGTGCAAAATATTGTGTACTATAGAAATCTCTATATAAAACTATATCATTAAGTATCGCTGTGTTTTTTTATGTTCACGTAACACTTTGGAATTTACTATGTAAATACTATTTTACATTAAAATAACGTGCTAAGGATTGAAATATTAGGGCCGCTATAGGGATTGGGGCCTCTCTAACATAAGGCTGGGGCCGGCGGAGTAAATGCTATATATAGCGGAAAATTAAGAGCGTATGTTACTAAGAGAATTATTATTCAAAGATTAGGGATTTCCCTAAGCGATTATATTAAATAGGGATTGCAAATTTATATTATAGGTTTAGAAAGGTCTATAATTTACCTTAAAAATTTAATTCTTAATAATATACGCCTACTATCTATAAGGTAATAGTATAACCGAACGTAGGAATTAAAACGTAATAATTATTATGTATTATTATTATTTTATATAAGGCGAATTTAATGAAGTAAAAATACTCCCTAATTTATGATTAAATATAAATAGCGTATTATCCGAACCCATCAAATTATCCTTATACGAACAATTCTTCAACTTTAAACCTTTTAGCCCCCTAGACTTATATCACGGGGCAAGGGCACCGTTAGGTCTGAGATATGATCTTTGTTATTGTACGAGGGAAGCAAGAAAGGTGTGCGCAGCCAGGGCAGATATAGGGCATGGGTGAGATCCACCTGGGTGGATCTACCCCGTGACCACTGCCAAGGCTGCCCAGTGCCATGGCTCTGTCATGCAGCAGTGCAGTGCACTGGCCAATGGCAGCCATGGCACAACTGGCACAGGGCATGTGATCTAGCCCTGTGAGACCTTAGTAATTAGAAAAAATATATTAAAATTGATTAATAAGTACGAAGCCCTTCGTAATGGGTTCTATAAAGATGTTTAATTAGTTATAGACTTCGCGACCGTTAAAGCAAAATTTAAATATAATAATAAATGAAAATAATTTGAATTTAATATTAATAATTAAATATATTTTAAATTATATAAAGGTTACTACTTATTTAATAAATTATTAAGGAAATTCTTACCATAACACTCCAGTTTATTTACAATATTAATTCGAATAGGTAAATTGGCCTATCGTTTAAATTTACCTCCCGAAAGACGTATCTACCTTATCATTTCCGTAGTTTATTTAAAGGCTACTGCTAAGGGACAGGACCTTTTCGGCCGGCGCTAACCGCCTCTTGAATTAATAGAGGATAATTAAGTCGATTTAAACGATGTATAATATAAATTAATTGTAATTTTAAATTATAAGGAAGATATAAAGTATAAAGGATGGAAATATTAAAATATATGAAATATAAATATAAACGCAATAAATAGCTCCTAAAGAATTTACCTAATACGAAGGAATTAATTGTAAAGTATTAAAAATGTAAGGGAAGAAGGCTAAAAGGAATATCGGTTAAAAAAATAAAAGCAATTAAGGAACAGGATTTTATAATTATTTACGTTTGTAAGTTAAAACCTAAGAAGTAAGGGTATTCGGATATATATATAATATTAGAGGTTAGGGTTACTAAAGATAGTAGTATTCTCTTTGTACGGCCGGGTCTTAATACCGGAAAGGTATTGTAGTATTATATATTATATTACCTAACTTGTGTACGGGCGCTGTAAGGCCCTTATAAGCGGTTTAATTAATTGAATTATAGTTGCAAGTCGTACACCCCACTTATGTAGGTCTATAAATTAGATAAGGCTTGCGCGTATTCTATTTGGTCATCGACCGCACGCGAGCTTCTTACTCTTAATTCTTCGAATTATTATTTTACACATATTCAAACAACACACATACTGTGCTTTTCACAATACCCTCTCAACGGTATTACTTTTCTATAATAAAAATATTAATACGACGAGTGGAAAAGCCTTCGACTTATAATACTTTGTAATTAGTAATAGTGAAGTATTTCTCTAATTTACCTATAAAGTTATCGATTTTATTATTGAAGTTAGTAGCTAGGTCTATTTTTTTAGAACTCTATTTTTCCTTTTTTTCGCCCAAAGTATTTTCGACTTCTACTTTGGGAATGCGGGCAATTTCGTCGATTATACGCTTTTCGAATCCTTCTTTATCTAAGTAAGAGGATTTATCCGAAATAGGATCGCTTACAGTACAAAGTTTCTCAAGAGAGATTTACGCCTTAATACTCTTCTAGATTAAAAATATAATTTAACGATTTAAATTCCTTAAATCATTGTTCATATTATGTGCTAAATAGTATACATATAGGGTTAAGGTACTAAACGCTTCGATTATTAAAACAAATACAAGTAGATGTCGATATACATATTTATAAAGTTTTTTTCCTACGTCTACTTAAATACAATTAAATTTATAATACTACGGAATTTGTTAAATTTAGAATTCTTACAAATATTAATAATTAACTGGAATAAAAAGTACTAGGCTGTTAATTATCGAAGGTTTATATTAATTAATCAATTTTAATTAATAGGTTATCCAGAATACTATTTATTACGTCCTTATATTCGATATTAATGATATAAGAGTAGATATTTCTTATATTAATATTTCTGACATCCTAAATCGAATAATAACTTGTTGTAGTGGGGTCTATCCCACCTCTCTACCATCCACTGACATCGTCTATCACGTGGGCCCAATCAGCCCGCACCACCATGTAACGGCGCTGGCAGACTGGGTCTGGGTGCCATGTACGAGGTGGTATTATGAGGCTATTGGAATGAGATACATGGAGGTTCTGTACATAGTATAGGCTAGAGGTTGCAAGCTATTTAATTGGCTATACTAAGACTGGGTATAGGGTGGACCCTAGTACGTATAGGGGTTTATCTTATAGGTGAAGGGGATACGAGTGAAGGGATTGGCTATTAGCGACCCGCATGTTGGTCCCGCTATCGTTTGTGCGACTAAGGTATTTATTTGGGTCTGTACGCTTATATTTAATTCTCTTCCTCTTTTCTTATCCCTATTTAAAGTCTTTTATTATAAATGGAATTTTAGTTTTACCTTCGATTCACTTATATCGTATCCTTGTATTATTCTAGATTAATCTAATAACTACTTAGGAAAATTAAATCCTAAATTAAACCCGAAATTAGAAAGATTTGTCTTAAGAATTCAAGGTACCGAATATTTATAATAATATAATAAAATTACTACGCTTAATATATAAAAGTACTAGCAGCTATAAATGTAGCGAGTAAGTTAAGAATTACGAAGACTATTATAACAAGGAAGTCTTTGACGATAATAATAATCATAACGAAACTTTTTATAAGAAGGAGGGCGGAGATAGCAATAGAAAAGGAAGCTCTAATTCTCTAAATCCCGACCCTAAGTAAGAAGAGGATACGGCCATTGATAAGATGAAGGTCGTTATTAATAATAAGAATAAGCGTAAATTTACTAATCCTATTATTAAAGAGAATACGCGTAAGGCTATTCGCTTCGACGAAGAATGCTATAACGCCCTTATTTCAATAAGGAAGGCTTTTGCGGTAAATCTATAATCCTTTATAAAAAGTCCCTATATTATATATACTATTGATCAAAATCACCCGACGAATTGCCAGCCGATACGGTAGTTAATAACGAAGACGACGAAGACCCGGAACTATTATTCGACCTATTCGACTAATATATTTCCTAACCGGTCGAAGATATTAAAATTTTCAACGTTCGTATAATTAAAAAAGACGTTACCAATGATTTGCAATAAAAGATAGAGGAATTCGCCGAATTATTTATGTAGAATTCCGTCCCTAGCGTTCCCTTCTAAATATTCGTCCCCTCTTCGAATTTCCTTTTTTCCAATTACTTTACTTAGGAGAAATTGGCTAAATTATATTACGGAGATTCCTAAGCTATATTTCAAGATTTTGAATTATTATTTATTAATAAATATAGTACGAGTCGAATAAGTATTAAAGTTTTACCGATTCGTTTCCTATTTAAATATTAAGTTTGAGACGATTTACGATTGGGTTTCTGTTTTCGTAAACTAGTACGCTAATAGACCTTTAATAAAGACTTCCGTTAACAACCCCGCTATAGTCCAATAATTAAAAGATTCTTTTATAGAGAAAGAAGAAGTTATCGAAGGATTAAAAAATATGATTACGGGCCTAAATATTGATAAAAGAATCCTTAAGAATAATAATAAGGATAAGGGAAAGGCTAAAGAAATAGTATTCCTTAATATTAAAAGGGACGTTAGCGAGGCGCTTCTTCGGGCCTCTACCCACTTCTTAACCTTACCCCCCGAAATTGACCCCGATAACGGAGAACGCTCTAATTCCCGCCGTAATACTAAATAAACCGACATTACTGAATATTATAATTAGGATAAGGAAAATAACATTCTTTTCGAAGAATAATATTGTCACAGGTCTACTGGGTGTACACAGCAGTAAGGGTGGAACAGAGCTTGAGATTGTTGACAAAGAGGAAAAGGGAAAGGTCTACAAGCCTAAACAAGTCTGCAGAGACACAACTATATACTAGAATAAACAGGTAGCCTAACTAGCAGTAGCCAACCAGAGAGCATGCCTGGGCTGTAAGCCCAGGCACCATATCTCTAGGCGCCAGCCCATTACATTATCCCCCTACTCCGGAAGCGCATACCCAAAGCCACAGCGGTGACAGGATTGTCGGCAAGAATCAACCAGGTCTCGCGGGGTCTCACCCCACGCTCGGCCAGGCAACTTTTCACCGCCTGCTTCATACCGACACTCACATACGGAGCAGCGGCACTTTTTCCTGGATACACCAAACCTGGAAAGGGAGGCCACCCGGTGTCTACCAATATCAAATCGGCCCTGCATGAACTGGAGACGGCGGCGTCGAAAGCACTCAGGAAGACCATGCCAATATGGCGCACGGTAGCCAGACCGATCCCATTCTGGCTGGCCGGGATAGCCCCGCCGGAGATATTGGGAAGGGAGACGGCTAGAACGGCCGCCAGATTACACACACTCCCGGGCACACACCCGCTCGCACAAAGGCTGAGGAGGCCCCCTCCGAGGGAGTGGTCCAGACTCCACGCTCTTGCGGAGTCACAGCCCCCGCCGGAGATACCCCCAGACGAGGTATGGCTCCCCCGCCTACCGGCCCTCCGCAACTGGCTCGCCCCCGGTGCCGAGAGACAACCACACCGCCCCGGACAATGGACACTCCCACCCGAGTCCGACCCGGACCTGTACTGGGCCGACAACAAACCTCAGAGCCTCGCAGACCAACCCTGGCACAGGAACAATAACCCCTACCTCGGACTGCCACGCAAACACCTGGCAAGATGGATCGGAGAACGCACAGGTCACTGGGACTTCCACTCCTACCACGACCGCTTCAACCATCCTCCAGAGACCTTCCGATACTGCATGTGCGGAGCGCCCCGCGAGAAGGGACACTTCTTCGTCTGCCCACTAGTCACATACCGCAACCCGAACGCGGCAGAAGACACGCCGAAAGCTTTCGGCACCAGCTACGCCACATTTCTCGCAAGAGTACAGGCCCTCAAAAATGAGGGATACACACACATCCAGGTGCTACGAGGTGGAGGATATCAGGGAATGAGGATAGCCAGAGCGGGGACCCCCGACCCAGACGACGAACCACTGCCCTTCGCGGAGGTACACGCCCTGCCGGGATCAGGGGGCCTGGAATGAAACAGTGGGTCCAAGACCACACAAGAAGGAATAGGGTTTTTCCAGCCCACGGCCACGCTAGGGTCCGACCTAGCTGACCTAGGAGGCTTTTCCCCCGCAATCATGTACCTATGCCCAGCCGCCGTCGCGGGCACGACTTATTATCTAGTATTGGTAGAACGTAGTCGCAAAATTCATTCTTCTTCTTCTTCTTCTTCTATCCCCCTACTCCCTCTCCTCTGCACGCACAAAGACAAAAATTATCATACAGAATGAAAAACCCCAGAGTCTCCAAACAAGCGGCCCCTATACCGCAGAAATACCATTAAATACTCCCAAACCGAATACTCGTACAAATAACTAAATCAATACCATGTAAACAACACTACCTACAACCTCCATCATAAATACCAAGCCCCCAAGAACTATAACACCTCAATACCTTATATACACGCGTACGCGGGCGCCAAGGCGAAAGACCCGTCAATCCTCCCCTATACGAATTCCCAAATAAGCACCATATATACAAACCCAGCCCATGCATCCGTACAAATCCTCACCCTATATTGCCAAAGAAGCGCTACAGACACTTAAAGACCACCTTATCTAAGCAATAGTATCCTACAACCTCCCCACCTTGTATAGAATAACAATGAAGCCTCAATATAAGTCTTAGTATAGTTATCAACGGCTTATACCTACCAGGAAGGCCACAACACTATCTCCCCTTGCGGTAACTACTAAACCACTATATATAACTACAGCCCATCACGGCCGTAAATAGAAACCATCGCTAAAATATCGGCGCATGTATAGCTGTCGGTGGGCTGGAAAAGGCGACAACGAAAAAGGGCTTGATTGTTGTTGTCTAACGGAAGAGGCGAAACGGAAACCAGGGCAGCCTAAATACCTGGAAGGGAGTGCCGGTGAATGGGCGGCCCAGTGCCATTCACTGGGCAACCTGGGCACGGACTTCCAACACACCCCCGTAGGCTGGCCTGATGAGACCTGGCTCTGAAGAAAACCTCTAACTATATACATTGTGAGATCCTTTCCCGAAAGGGTGAAAATGAGGGTATCTCCATCTCCTTCTCCTTTCCTCTCTCAATATCCTCCGGCTCTTTCGCGTTCGCTATCGTATTGTCACATAGCTCTATTCGTGCTCTCTGGCATAGGCCGACAATCGGGCTCCGGCTTTCCTGGCCTTGTAGGACGGGGATTTGGATCGGTTCCTCGGATTCTTTTACTCCTCCTCTCATCTCCTTAGTTTACTCTTTGGGATCGGGGTTGGTGAAATACTCGAGTTGGCTTCTTCTTTTGGTTGTTACCATTTCTTGGCTTGTTTGGATCGGTTGGGGGGGGGGGGACCTGTCGGTCGCTATGCAACGTCGAGATTGGGTGCCTGTCGGTCGAGTCGACGTCGAGGTTGGGTGCCTGTCGGTCGCTATGCAACGTCGAGATTGGGTGCCTGTCGGTCGCTATGCAACGTCGAGATTGGGTGCCTGTCGGTCGAGTCGACGTCGAGGGCAAAGGTTGAAAGAAAGAAAGCCGGGTAGATGAGAAGGTTGACTTTGGTTGAGTGAATGGTGAATGAAAAGGTGACCATCTTGGTCAAAAGGGGATCTTCCAATGAGATCTAGGTGAAGGTGACCGACCATCTTGGTCAAAAGGTGATCTTCTGATGAGATCAAGGGTGACCATCTTGGTCAAGGAAAGAGTGACCTTAGGCTTTGGTGGAGGGTGATCTTGATGATTGAGATCTGGGTTTATCGTGGTCGCTGCAAAATTGCAAGGAAGGTCGTTAGCGGGTTAACTGAGTGGCCGCTGAATCGATAATGAGAGTCGTCGCCATTTCTTCTTGAAGATGGAGATCGCTGCCCTCCTGCACCCCCGTAGATGGCGCAGGAGGCTAGAATAGCTTCCGAAAAGGGTGCGCGCGATGCGCGAGAGGGCTCATAACCTGTCGGTGGGCTGGAAAAGGCGACAACGAAAAAGGGCTTGATTGTTGTTGTCTAACGGAAGAGGAGAAACGGAAACCAGGGCAGCCTAAATACCTGGAAGGGAGTGCCGGTGAATGGGCGGCCTAGTGCCATTCACTGGGCAACCTGGGCACGGACTTCCAACAATAGCCCTCAGCGCAATATTTCCAAGCCCATTCTCGATATCTCCGGGCTAGCGAAGACAGAGACCAATTCTCAATCGTCGTCATTATAAATTTCGTTATTATCCGAATCCCTAACCGGTTCGACGGCAATACTCTATAGCCGCACAATTTTACCCTTACCTTTATTCCTGGGGCATACTTTTACCTAATACTAGGAAGAGCCACAGCCTATATAGCGGTTCTCCTTCTTCCAAAATTATCGTTATTCAAGAATAATAGCTCCAGCCCCGGAGGACGAACCACTACTACGTCTCCCTACCCTTATTATTCTTATAGCGCTGATCTATATAGGTTTACCGGTATCCACCTCCCCCAAGTAATTATTACCATCCAAACGTCGGAAATATTCCTACAGAGCCTCGTAGCCCTTTAGAACGTCCGTCTTTTCCTTCAACCTTATTCGCCATTCCTTATTCAAATTACCCATAAGAAAGGTCCACTTTAAACTATCTATCCAATCGCTCTAGGCTCGGTCGAAGACCTCATTAAAACGGAAGAAATATAGCTTAATTACTTCATTTCGGGCCTATAGGGTTTCAAAGAATTCTTAGGCCGCACGTTTATCGGAATTCATCTCGCCGTAGGACTAGCGGAATTTCTACAGCAATCTCGCTAGTAAACGGTTCGCTAGCTATCGGGCGAAGGAAAGAAGGGTCTTCTAGATAGGGGGTAAAAGGCTGGAGTAGAAGTAATAAAATTGAACCTCTAGATCACTAATGGCGTAACCGTCGACGTAGAACTTAGCTTTAGCGGTATATAGCCAAGCGTCGAGTTCTGCAAGCTCCCCAGAGTATTTGTTGAAATGGAGAAGCGATGGCTTGGGACGGGCAGGGCCTATAGCGAGGGACGAAGCCTTAAGCTCTACCAATTCGAATACGAGGGATTGAATGGCCATAGCGAATTATTGTTACCGTTCGCTGGCGTTCTGTGCCCACAGGATAGAAGTCATGGCTGCAGACGGTCGAGGAAAGGGCTCTCCTAGGCAAACGTCGAAAGGGAAGGATTGGCGGTCTAGAAAGTAAAGATTGAAGAAGAGGGTCAACAATATATCACGGGTCTACTGGGTATACACGGCAATAGGGGTAGAACAGAGCTTGAAATTATTAACAAAGAGGAAAAGGGAAAGGTCTACAGGCCTAAACAGGTCTGCAGAGACACAGCTATATACTGGAATGAACAGGTGGCCTGACTGGCACTGGCCAACCAGAGAGCATGCCTGGGCCTGCAGCCCAGGCACCATATCTCTGGGCGCCAGCCCATCACAAATATAATTTAATTTAAAATGAATTCGAAATCAACGTTGATTACTACCTTTCCGACCGCAATAAGTTTCTATACGTTAAAAATTGTTTAGCCGGCTATACTTATTATAATTCAATATTATACCTATACGAAACTTACCCGAACTAAATTAAGACTTATTCTAGCTTAATAACCCATTTGTAGTACTAATATTATAATTTTTATTAGGAGGAGAATAAACTCTACAATTTTACTAAATTAAAGATAAAAGATAACGATAATTTCGCTTTCTTTAAAAATAAGTTTATTGGGATAGTTAACGAATACTAACGTTTTGAAACCGAATAGAAGTGGGAGTTATTCTAACGCTTCCTTACTAAATATAAGAAATGAATAGGCGTAAAATACTACGACTTATCCATCTCCTTCGAACTATATTATATAGATTACTCCGGGTTTAAATAAATATTAAAAACTATCGCTAATAAGAATAAAATTACTTCCAAATTAGGTAAGAATAATAATTCTAAAAGAAATAATAAGAAAGAATATAGCTTTAATTCTATATCCGCCCCTAAATCTATTAATGAAAGTAGAGGAAGAGGGGCCGCTCGTCAAAGTAGCGATCGTTACGAAGAGACTACTCGATTATTTAACAAGGGTAAATACTTCTTCTATAAAAAGAAGGGTTATATTAAGCGAAATTATTCTAGGAAAGAGCGCTTCCACTACGAATGCTACGACTACATTACTACTATTGTTAACTGTCACTTAGTTTACGAAAACGGAAGTAATAAGGAGGCTTTTACCGCCCCGACTGTTAATCTAACTACTAATAAATAAGGAAATTAATCACTCTAGGTGAATTAGATTCTTTCCTAGGGGAGGTATCGGTTATAGAATAATAGAAAAAGGATAAATGGAAATATGAAGGAAAGGAATGATTTAATTTAATACCATTTTTAGGAGGAGAACCTATTGTGGTGGGGTGTGTCCCACCTCTCTGCTATTTACTAGCATCCTCTATTACGTAGACTCAGCCCGCACCACCATTGTATTTAGCCCTCTATATTTCGCTTCGTTTCTTCTCTTCCTAATTTAGTAAAATTAATACACTTCTTATGCCTACTAATCCAAGAGGCTATAAGCCCTCTACACGTGATCGCATCGTATCGCATCGCTGCGCGTAGCTATTACGAGTATTAAAAACCCTAAGAAATGGAATAAGAGACGAGCGATACCGAGTACAAATCGCCCAGAAAATAAGAAACGAGCAACATCGAGTGTAAGTCACCTAGACAATAAGACCCCGCGTCGTTATAATATTGAGTATATGTTGGAAGTCCGTGCCCTGGGCCGCCCATTCACCGGCTTTGCCCATTCACTGGGCCGTTCCATTACCGGCACTCCCTTCCAGGTATTTAGGCTGCCCTGGTTTCCGTTTCTCCTCTTCCGTTAGACAACTACAATCAAGCCCTTTTCGTTGTCGCCTTCCAGCCTCCATCAGTATACGTCGTACCCCTTTACGAATACCTTTTACGAATTAATAATTTTTATTAAGCGATGAAAATATTGAGACTACGAGATTGAAATCCTACGAATGGAAATTATTAAGCGATAAGGTCGTTAATAAAGATTGTCGGTAATTTAAAACACGTTTACTTCTATATTATAATTCCTAGAATTTCGATCTTATTAGAAATTATAACTAATGCGACTATACTAAATGATACTTTTATTCGAGATAAGCGAGATTATAGTGCTATGTCGTTCGTACGGAAGAAATGCCTATTTTTACGAAGTTTTGTATGGTTATTTAGTAAGAGTCGCGGACGAACTTTTTATATATGGGGGGGGGGGGGGGTAATATAATAGCGTTAGCAGATTGGGTTTCGTTTTAGGTACTATACGTAATACGGTTTACGAAATTACTAAAATAAAGTATATAGAAGTTCTAAATATAGTACGGGCTAGGGGATATAAACTATTCAATTAACTTTACTAAAATTAGTTATAAGGTGAATCCTAGTATATATAAGGTTTATCCTATAAGTAAAGGAGATGCGAGTGAAGGGATTGGCTGTTAGCGACCTGTATATGGGTCCCGCTATCGCTTATGTAATTAGGGTATTTATCTGGGTTTGTACGGTTATATTTAATTCTCTTTCTCTTTTCTTTTCCCTATTTGAAATCTTCTATTATAGATGGAATCTTAGCTGTGCCTTCCACTCACCTATACTGTGCCCTTGCATCGCGAAGGAAAAAGTAAAGTTAAAATATATATTCAATTATTTTATTTCGTTTTATGAGCGGATCGGGCCGAATAAAGTATTAATTATTATTTAGATAGGGTCCTTCTAAAGTCTTTTAGCATTCTAATTACGTAATAAGAAGTAGAACGCTTTAATCTTATAACAATTAATCTAAAGGCCGAAATTACAGATTCGTTAATAAAAATTGACGGCCTAATGAAACGCTATATAGAGTATCTACGTAATATTTCGTCCAATAATAAAACAAATAATATCGTCCGTATAACAGAAGGCGGGGCCTTAATACCGGGTCGGTAAATAGGTAATAAAGAGGAGGAAGAGGATAGGGGACTATAAGGAGCTTTAAAAGAATCCGCTACTGAAAAGAAAGCGAATTTTTACCCAACGGAAGATAAAACTTCTATTTATATAAAAATCGGTTACTAGAATAATTCAGAACGTTAACTAAGTTTAATTAATAAAAGCTTTAATAAATTCATTTACCGGGGTAAAGGGAAATATAAAATTAACGTTGAAAGTAATAATAATTCCGTACTAAAACGGTTACCGCCTTCTACGTTATTAACTAAGGCTATAATAAAATCTATAACCGAACAAGTAGGAATCATCCTAATAATATCGTACAAAACGAATTCTCTAACGAAAGCGACGGTAATTATCCGTTTAACCAATAAATATTTAATTCCTTTACCTACTATAGAGAGAATGGTAATTGACCCCTAACCTTTATAAAAAAAAAGGTTGCAACCAAATTTTTTTTCTAAAAAAAAAAATGAAGTTATACCCGCTTAAAAGCGGAAGGGAATTTACTAAAAGCGAGTGATACCGGATATCCTCGATATACGGTATCGTCGTCATCACACCTTATAGACTAACCAAGGCAGCCTAGAGTAACTAGGCTAGCACAGAAGATTCTATGCCTAGGCCCAGCCTAGAGCTTAGGCCACCCTATAGCCTATATACTACTCCTAGCAAAATATATCTTCCTCGTACAGACGGCTAGCTTCTAGCCGTCCTCTTCCTTTTACATCATCTTTCACAACGCTTTCAAATATCACGTACTGTATTTGTGAAGCAACCCGGTTACCCGTATCAGCGAGGGAAGCGTAAATAATAAATTAAATAAAAAGGAGAATCGATTCCCAAAAGGACTTTAATATATTTAAAATAATACTATCGGAGCCCGGAGCATTTAATTTACATCGGCAGAAAGTTCTATCGAATTTATTTTGGTCGGGGGCCTCTAAGACCTACTAACTATATCCAAAGAAAACGTAGGGCCGCAATAATAATAAAACGGAAAAGCGTTATTATGAATTAAATAAAACGTAATGCTGGTAACATATATTATGATAACGTTAGGGTCCGTAACTTTATTGTTCTAACCGTTAATAAAAATAAACTTATCGTCTAATAAATCGTTCTTCTATTTTAAAATAAAACCCAAATCCTTAAATATTTTAGCGAATTCTACCCTAGTATAGTTGAAATTCATCCGTATTTCCCTATAGATTTCATAGAGAACTTCAAAAGTAATTTCCTAAAATTTTACGAAATATTCGTTCTAGTAGGGCATATCTTTAAATTTACCACCGACAGCAATAGAATATTTATAAACTACATTTTCGAATATATTTATAAAGGACTATATAAAGTCCTCGAAATCACCGGAAATCTATAGTATCGAAGCGGATCTCGGGAGTCGGCGCATAAATACTATATATATATCTTCTACGTAAGTAATAAAGGAAATATAGGTCCTACAGAGCAAAACATTCTAATTGGCCAGGATAATAATAAAAAGCCGGTAATAATCGGAAATCTAATTAGTTACCCAGAAATAAGCGGATTCCAGGCCGAAGGCGAGGTCTAAGGTAAATGAATTATATATATAATAATATATAGGCAAGCCGGAAGTATTAAACAAATTAAAGCCCTAGAATATTATTAAGTCCTCGAAGAATTTTCCGTAAGGGGAGGGGTAGAACTAGGGGTCCTACGAAGGGTAATAAATATTAAAATGACCGACGACAAGAGAATATTGGGTTCTTATATTAGTAAAATAAATTTCAACCGCCTCTACGTATTTATCGTACGGATACTAATAAGTATAGGAAATTATAATTCTATTAATAATAACTATAGCTATCTAAATGACAAGAAGGACAGGGATAATATAATTATATATTTTAGTAATATAAATTATAACCTTTGTATGTAAATTATTAAAACTAACTATATAAAAGCTGGGATACTTACGAATCCGACTTTTAATAATGGTAAATTCTTGAATTGAAATAATTAAAACCCAATTAGTAATTACTTATTTAATAATATTATTAATCTTTATTAAAAATTTCTAAATATTAATAGATATAACTTTAAACTCGTCCTTTACCTGGATAAAGGGTTAAGGCTTAATTATTTACCACCCAACGTACCTTACCGAGGGGGTAAATTAAACGTACGAGGAACAGTACTAAATATTACCGAAAATTTACTTCTAATAAAAATACGGACGGAACTAGTAATATAAAATATAAAGGGCTCTAGGGAATCCGGGGCTAGTATTTTAACTATCTAATAGACCGAAGGGTTAATTGCAGGGACGTAAAGCCGGATATTAATAATAAGAATACTTATACATTCTAAATACTAATTATCTTTTATAATAATAGCTATCGCTTTAGAATTTTTACGGCGGGCGAAGGAGGGGAATTAAGGGGTAGTTAAAGTATTCATTATATCAATATCCTCTTCTATAACAGAAGCGGCGGTAGCGGTAAAAGTAGTAACGGTAATAGTAGTAAGGGCGGTAATAATAATAGTAATACTAGTGGTAATAATAATAGCGGCGGCGGAAGGCGGATTGTTTACCCTAATATTATAACTATCTACCCTAACGTTATTAATACCTACCCGGGCAACTTTAACGGCAATTTTATAAACGGCCTTGCTGGATTTCCGGGCATTAATATATTATTTAATAATCGGCTTCTTAATATAACTATCCTTCACTTTAAAAAAAACGGAGCAATCGGTATAGCTAGAATATTAAGGGCTAAAATTATTAAAGCACTAAGGGATAGGTTTACAGACCTCCTTATATACCGCTTTAAAAGTATTATAATTATTATAAATAATGATAAATACATATTTAATAATATAATAATAACCGAAATAATGATCGTATATATTAATATATAGATTCTATTCTATTAACTTGGCGGGTTCCGATCCGAAAATATAAAAGGGGGTAGTCTTCTTCCGGAAGACTACAATATAATCGCCAAATTTCTTAAGTAAGAAAGTTTTAGGGTCCTATTTAATAGTTGCCTAAATTCTTTAAGTAAGGAAGGGTTTAGTAGCGTAAGGACTATTATAAACATAGAATTAAGAAAGAACGCTAGCGAAGTAGTATATAACCGTTAGTACTTTCGGGTTTAATAATATAATTAATAACTTAGTATTTAAATCGGCGAGGAATTTATAATATTCCGGCGTCGTGATTTC